ACTAGTGATATGGGAAATAAAGGAGTGTGGAAAGAATTACAGATTACTCCAGACAATTACTTTTTCGAACATCCTGCACTGAAAGATGGCAAAATATTTGTTTTTGCTGATATTCCGCATTTATTAAAACTACTGCAAAATTGGTTTATCAATGAAGGTTTTTTACTCCAACATTGCAGTAAACTATTCAGAGCTGAGATTATGCAAGCCATTATTAACATGGGCAACTCAGGCGATCTTCGTGTTGCACACCGTTTAACACAGCGGATATTGGACGCTCGTCATTCAATGAGGCAATTAAGCCAGCAGCGCAAATTTGGTCTCACACTGTGGCAAAGACAATTAAATGGGCCGGAGATTGTGGACTTACAAATGTGCCTGATTACAAAAAATCCTCTAATTTTGTTTCGACTGTTAATAAGTGATTTGATGTACATAATTTGCAGCAGAAATATGGTGCGCATTTAGGAGTGAACGGCTTCGGAGTGAACATTGATAATCAAGAACTAATTATAATATTAATAAATTTATATATTCAAAATATGACAGTTGATTCTAAAAAATCACTGATGCCTTTTCAAAAAGGCATTCTAATTAGTAATGCTTCGTTTCGACGATTGTATGACTATTTTAAAAATAAATATCCGCAGGAATTCCAGTATATTTTAACAAGACGTCTTCAGCAGGATGTGCTAGAAAACTTTTTTGCCTACATAAGAGCTATGGGCTCTTGAAAAGATCCGTCAGGATATGAATTCAGATATCGCCTGAAATGGTATATTCTAGGCAAACACAGTCATGCAGTGTTTTCCATGAATCGCAATACTGAAGAAGATATCGATACAAGCTGTATGTCTTCATCCATCGCTTGCGATTATCCTCAACTTTGTCAGAAATTCCATCAACGACAGTGGCTTCGAAAACCCTATCACGTCATCTCCAGTTGCATCAACATCAATGACGAAATGCTCATCAACATATGAAATATCTCAAACTATTTGTGAACCCACCAACATTTTTAATACATCTAATAATCACAGTTATTTGGAAATTGAACATCATTTACAAGATAAAATAATTCTAACAAAAAAATTATTTTCTAATATTATAAACATTTCACCGG